CCCGGGTTTGATTATTACGATGTAGACCAGATGACATTTAATGAGCAGAAAGTAATTTGTCAGCGTACTCACAGCTGACATTTACCCAGCATGTGACAGAGAGAGACCCTGCCTCAAAAAAAAAAAAAAAAAAATGTTCTATTTAAAGAGGGGAGGAGGGGTGGCGAAGACGCTCCCGGGTTTGATTATTACGATGTAGACCAGATGACATTTAATGAGCAGAAAGTAATTTGTCAGCGTACTCACAGCTGACATTTACCCAGCATGTGGCCTGCCGCAAGATCCCCAGGCAGAAATGAACGGTGGAAATGTAAGCATTCCTTGGCGAGGTCGCACGGTGGTGGGTGCAAAACGTTCCTCAAAAAACCGAGGAAGGAGAGTAGACTCAAACTTAAAAGTCGTGACTATGCAGGAGCGGATGAGGGATTCTCCTCTTTGTCCCTCGTGCGACTCTGCCTCTCTGCAGCCTAACTCCACGTTGGCTGCCTTCTTTATTTTGACACCTGAATACACCCTCTCACCTGTGACTACTCCCTCTGTGACCTGAAACCGTCCTCTGTTAAGCTTTGGGGCCAACCCTGTGAGCCTCCCCAGCTCCCTGTGACTCACTCACGAGCGTGTTCCATGAAACCCTCTGAGAAGCAAATACACAGACAGAACACGTCCCAGTATCACTAAGGGTAAAACGTGTGATATTCGGTTCAAAACCACACGGTTATAATCTCTTAGGGTATTTAGTGACTGTGAAGACAGCTAAGGCAATGCTGTACAACAGAAGTTGTTAAGGAAGAAACGAAAGGTTTCCCCTGACATCCTGTTGATGTTTGAAATTCATCGAAGGGCCAGTGGTCGACTTCGTTCCACTCCACCTTCAAGTGAGCCTGCAATTCAGTGGAGTCTGAATGACAACATTTTACTGTAGAATGAGAACAACAGATGATACGTGTGAGAATATTTACAAGCGAAAGCCGAGGCACTGCGCTGTTATTGTTAATAATCTGTGTGCAGACATTTCGGTAAGCTGCTTGGACGCAACAGTGGCTGCTTCAGGCCTAAGTGCCGGCTGCAGTGTGGCAAATGACACAAGCGATCTCTTCACGCAGGCTTTGGTTAAAATCTCAGTCCCACCTTTCACTAGCCGTGTGATTTTGAGCACTTAACCTTGAGCTTCAGTTCCCTTGTCTAGAAATTAAAGATAGTAATATCTACCATATGGGATTTGTGCAAAGATGTGTATGAGCCAATACTTGACACATGCTCAGTCCTCCATGGTAAGTATCAGCTCCCCTTTCCTTCCCCCGCCCTCCCCCGGCTGCCCTGATGAAGTCTCCTGAGGTCCAGAAGGAGGCGGTTAATGACTTGGGGGGAGGCGGGTACCACAGACCAAGAGGAAGTTTTCCGCCTTGAAATCCAGTTATATCCACTCCTGTTAAAAATGCTGCATAGACATATATATGGAGATTAAAAATTATGGTGGCTGGAGGTTGCAGTGAGCTATGATCCAGCCTGGGCAAAAGAGCAAGACCCTAAATTAAAAAAAAAAAAAAAAAAAAAAACGAAGAAAAAAATTATGGTGGTTAAGAGAAATACAAGGCATCTCATGGAAGAAACTGCATCTTCTTCCTCTAGGTTTGAACGCCACTGTTACAAAACCTGTCCCGAGAAGACCTACCCTGAGGAATCGGAATGCAGAGCATGCGACACTAACTGTGGCAGCTGTGACCAGAACGAGTGTTACTGGTGTGAAGAGGGCTTCTATCTCTCGGGTAAGCCAGAGAGTGGTACCGCGCAAAGCGAGAACAGAACCCTGACGCTCCGCCTGGTCCGTGCGGCAGGGGTGCTCACACGGTTGGATTCGGAGCCTTCGTGCGCCGGCACCTCTGGTCCCAGGGGGAATTTTAATTTGGTTTGAAAACAAACGTTAGCCAGGACTACTTCCTTCTGCTTTTATTACTAGAGCACAGTTCATATTTCACTAATTAATCTCAAATATCTCCAAGCCGATGGAAACAAGAATGAACCGGATGAACAAGAGGGGAGCAGGAGGGGAGGGGAGCCGAAGATAAATGTTTTGGAATTGAAGTCACCTGGAATATTCAGAACGCTGACCTTTTTCTTGAGACTTAATCCATGTTGTATGTTCCTGCGCAATGTAAGGGTTGAACAAGATCCTTTGTCTGAGGTTTTTGGCAACTCGTTGCATTCAATGGATAATGGAGAGTTAGGAAAGAAATACACTGTGAGTCTTCCAGTCAAAGAACTGATAGCCCAGTGCTCTTGGCTACTTGCAGGAGAAGGAGTGAGACAGACAGCTCACAGCACTCTTCGATGTTCTCTATATACAGATTTATTTTATTTGCAGTTTTTCAAGGCCTCAATGATGTAAAGTTCTTTCTTTGGTGCTCTTAACCCTTTAAGCTGATGGCCAACTTAAATTCTCAGTTGAAAGAGGACTTAGGTAAAGTGCTGGGTTTATGAAAACACACTCTCCGGTTGATGTAAGCTAAAGCCATCTTGGTTTCTTTAAAAACAAATGCAAACAAAAAATATTCCTAAAACTTTCTTCAGCCTCTTTATTTTATTTTTAATTTCAGAATATTACAGGGGTACAAACGTTTTGGTTACATGAATTACTTTTGTACAGTTTGAGTCAAACTTGTAAATGTGTCCATCACCCAGATAGTGTGCATTGTATCTCTTCAGCCTCTTTAGAACTTGGCCTTGGCTGGGCGCAGTGGCTCATGCCTGTAATCCCAGTGCTTTGCGAGGCTAAGGTGGGAGCATCACTTGAGACCAGGAGTTCGAGACCAGCCTGGGCAACATAGCAAGACCCTGTCTCTACAAAAAATTGTTCAAATTTAAAAAAAGAAAGAAAGAAAGAAAGAAACTTGGCCTTGCACAGAGCACCAGGCTAGGCTGGTCAGAATTCCACCTTCATGCTTCCTCTCTGTGTTCTCATGTAGGTGGCAGCTGTGTGAGAAAATGTGGCACTGGCTTCTATGGTGAGCAAGAAATAGGAGAATGTGAGCCCTGCCACCGAGCCTGCAAAACCTGTACCGGCCCTGGCTACGACGAGTGCAGCAGCTGCCGAGAAGGGCTGCAGCTGCTGCATGGGACATGTGTACATCTGGCCCCGTCCCAGGTGGAAGGCCAGTTCTGGAATGGTATGCACCTCCCCAAAGAGAGATCGCAGGGGTCTTGCCGCCTGAGCTGCCTCCCTCCTTCTTTAACCCTGATTTTTTGAGTTACCCAGGAAAGAAAGGCTGTGCAGAGAAACAAGAATTTGGAGTGAGAGTCAAGTTGGGGCCTTAGCGGGTCTCTCTGGTGGCTGGCGGTGGGAGAGGGTAGGAAGCTGGGGTTGGCGTCTGGCCAGCAGGGGGTGCCCAAGGGCAATTTCTGATTGGTCTGGCTGCTGGGGCTTCTGCCTAGGTGAAGGGAAGCGTGTAAAGAGAGCCAGACAGGGTCAAGGCTCAACAATTTTCTCAAAAAATTCAGAATAACTTCTATCACATACATGTATCTTTTATTATGGTAAAGGAAACTTTGCCCATAGAGTAGGCTTTTCCAGTTAGACAAGGAAGAACTGCTGTAATGTATTAGAATTTGTGCTAAAACAGGTGATCTTTATTAGAACTTGCCAACTTGCAAGCTTGCCTTTTAAAAGTTGCCCTCCCCAGTTGCAGATGGGGAAATTGGTTGAGGGGCTTCTGAGGAAGCAAGCAGGAAAGAGAAAGGGTATGGGAGCCCGTAATCTAGCAGGAAAGACGTGCAGGGCTTTGTTCCTCTTTAGAATTTAGGAGTTTTAGAATCAGCCTCCTCACATTTGGGGCTTCCTTGCAAGGTAATTACAAACTTTCAGTGACCTCTCCATGTCTGAGATGGTTGCAAAACAAAACCCTCTTCCTGCTGGAAAAATCTGACTCACATACTTCGCGGAGACACTCATGAAAACGAGAGGTGCTCTCCATTTGATTTCAAGGCTAGGATTTGTTAAAAGGGTTACTTCAGTGCGGAGGCAGTGGCGGCTCGAAGACGGGCCTGAGGGAGAGACAGCTCTGAGGCTCTTCTGGGCTTGAGAAGAAGGACGTCTGTGGCTGCTGTCTACTGTGACAGCTTTGCACGTGGGACTTAAAGGAAAAGCAGCTCGGAGACCGTCACAAGCCCAGCAGCCAAAGGCCACGGAGAACACGGGGCCTATTTCAGAGGTATAGCTGGGAAGAAAATCACTCAATACAGATTGGGATACCTTCCGTGAATTATAGCTGAACCAAAATGCTGAAAACGAGTTTGTCTGGCATTCAGGCATTTCAGAGACAGCGCAAGCCAAGAGGAAAATGGTCTGGTGCTGTGTTTGTAGCTAAGAACATCTGTATTTTATCTGGCGTCCAGATGATGAGATGGTCCAGGGAGCCAAGAGTCAGAGCAGGCCTGATTCCCCAGATGATTGCACGTCCCTTCAACTGGACTACGCATTTTGCAAGCAGAAATCAGGCTTTGGTTGTTCCCCTTTGTCGAAGCACCCTACCCACCCCTCTATGTTTTCTACTAGCACCATGTAATGTTTTCGAAGAGAGGAAGGAATTAGTCCATCTGGGGATTTCACACTAATACGGGATTTGGGAAGCAGATGAGAATGTTTCTCGTGGCTGGACAAAAGCAAATCAAGTCCATGACAGAGCTGCACTTTTCAAAATGTTGCTCTGATCTATGAAATAAGACATGCAGACCACTAACAAAGAGAAAAAAGCATTTATTCACTAAGCAAGGTGAGGCCCATAGCTCAGCTCCCCAGCGCAGTAAACACTGAAGTGGATAGTAAATGGGAAATGCATTCCATAGAGCCCCGGGAGTATTCGAGCCAATGCCTGCATCTTTCTCCCGACTTCTCTTCCTTAAAAAAGCAAGGTCGAAAGTGTAACAGGAGAGTAGAGGGTTCCAGGAAACAAATACTAATTAGCCACACCTTTAAGATGATGGGAAGCAGATTGCAGTAGTCCTGGGTCAATTTAGAAGAAACCCAGACAAATTACAGAGTGTTTATGAGAGAATGTAACTGCCTAGGTGGTACCAGCAAGGGTTTTTAGTTTTTGGTTTTTGTTCTGTTTGGGTTTTGTTTTGTTTTGTTTTGTTTTGTTTAAACACAGATTCAGATACAGGTAGGAAAAGTAAGATGGCACCAACTGCAATTTATCCCTTCTCCCACGCTGCTCCCCAGTAGAAACCATAAGGTCATGTTTGTATCCAAAGATTAAGACCGACCCCATGAGAATATAGCAGCACAGTCTGGGAAAATACCCTTGAAATAAAAGTCCAACTAGAGTTCTCTGTACTCTCCTGTTTAATAAGGTGGCTAATCAAGATGAGAGTGGCAACCGTGAGAGAGCCATCATTCTTTGTCAACTACCAAGAGAGTGGGAATACCTCCTATTTAGTCCAAGGATGGAGATTCCTCCACGTGTCAGACCATGCCTGACCAGTCCTCCAGCCAAGACTGAGTCATCTCCAAAGATGGCACTCAGCTCTCTGTTCTTCTAGCCACCAAAAAGTCGCTGCACACATATATAGATCATCCCCAGACCCTCTGTCTCAGTCACTGATATACGGTATTGTGATGATTGCTGAGTCCTGTGTCCCTAAATGGAAGGAATAAAACCAATATTAACCAGGTCACAAATGGCTTCAGCAGTGACTCAGGAGTCACACAAAGCCACCACTGGTGGAAACGTTCAGGTACAACGGGCCGTGGGCTTTTAAACAGGATGATGGCTTCAGCTGATTTCCTAAAGCCATTGCTGGGAACGGAAACAGTTTCCTCTGTTACTGTAAAATCATTTGGATTTTCTTAAGTGGTTTCCCCCCTGGTAGTGCTGGAAACTCCTTGGAATAATTCCTGCACATATCTGCGGCCCACCTATTTCCATCATTGATTAAAACCATGTTGTAGCGGCTCTAATTACATATTCTGGTGATAGTCTAATCTGCAGAGCACAGACATGGTGAATTAACTTTTTGTCTTTAACCACATCCTAACAATTTATCACTAGCCCGTCTTTTGATCTTAGTTCCTATGCTTGGGGAAAGACTGGAATCCCAGAGTTAGTTACAAACACTGCAAGCTACTCACATATGAAAAAAAAAAAATCAACTTCAGTCGTGGGGAGATGTGTTGCCTAATAGAAACTGAACTTTAGAAAACTTCAAAGATGCCATGGAAATCTGATTTTTAGAGGGATTTTGCAGATGTGTACAGCTGCTTCACTTAATTTGGAAATGAGAACATCATTTTTAGTTAGTTAGCCAACCAGAACACAGAGTGCAGATTTCACTAGGTAAGTATGTACTTAAATGTTTGACCCAATACTATAAAGGGGCCACTTGTATCAGCTTGCACTAACTGTTAAGTATCCGGGAATTTTTAGGTGGATTATTAAACTATTGACAGTTTCAAATCAGTTATGGTGGGAGTATTTACACCATGGGAATTGGAACTACTACAAGTCAAGGTTGCTTTGTTTTTCTAGAGAGCTGTTTTACCAGCACACCATTGCTTTGGCCACTATCAAACTACTTTAAAATTCAAATTAGTGACTGAAAAATCTAGTGGATGTGGGCTTTAGAGTTAGGCATACCTGAATTCAAATCCTGGCTCTATTATTTACTAGCTGTGTGACCTTGAGCGAGTTACTCATCCTTTCTGAGCCTTAATTTCCTCGTCTATAAAATGAAAACATGAAACTACCTCACACAAAATCATTTTGAGAATTAAGTGAAAAAATACATGTAAGGCTTCCAGGACAAGTATGTCACGATAAAAGTTAGTCTACTCCCTAACCCTTTAACCTGATCCAGTTTGAACTCTTAAGACACTATTTCACTTTCAAAGTGGCATTCCCTAGCTCATGAAAGAAACTAATTTTGGGGGCTTGAGAGAAATGCAGGTCTGGGGGAAATAGCCCCAGAAAGAAGGTAGCGAAGAATGTCCTCATAGGCAGAGTCCTGACTTAGCCAAGAATGTGTACTCACAAAGATGTTCATAGCAGCTTTATTTATAATAACAACAACAAAAAATAAGGGAACAAGCTAAAAAATGCAACAAAAGAAAAATTAAGTGAATTATGGTTCATACAAATAAATACACAAACCATTAAAATTTTTACCAAGAATTTTAACAACAAGAGTAAATGCCTATAAGATTTATAATGTTAAAGGCAATGTGCGGGGTCAGTATCATATCTGCAGAAGATGTAAATGATCACATATCTATACATATATGTAATTATATTCACACATTTGATATCAGGATGAAAAATCTTTGTGGCAAAGTATACCCTGCAGACATTTCTGGGTGGTGGGATTATAGGTGAAGTTTATTTTCTTTTATATCCTTTGCATTAAAAAAAACACTTTATTTTTTTTAATAAAAAAAGAAGCTGTGCCCACTGCAAACCCATCTCTGGTGAAGAGTCTGCTGCAGGAGCGACGAAGGTGGAAGGTTCAAATCAAAAGAGGTAACAGGGAAATAGGGAGGTGACAATGACAGCAGCAGAGACCATCTCCGCTACGTAGACACCAACCCAGGCAGCTGGGAGGCCAGGAGCAAGCGGGGTGCAGGAGCGATGAGAGAGCAATGGAGAGAGGAGGGGGCCGTGAGCACGGCATCCCAGTGGGTGCTCAGAGGGAGAACTGTGAGGAAGTTCAGCAGTGGCAATGTCTGCAAAGTGGAAGGACTTTCCTGACATGTGACGTGGTCATGCCGAGAGAGGCTATCAAAAAAGCCTTTGTCTCTGCAGAGCTTTAATAGGCTAAAGAAGCACCTCTTGCCTTCCCAGTCACTGTGGCATTATTTGAAATGGCAAAGACTGGAAAAAACGAAATGGTTACCAGTAGGAGATGAGAGAAATGACGTTACTGTACATCCAGACAGTGGAATACTATAGAGCCATGGAAAAGAATGAGAAGGTTTTTTATGTACTGATAAAGCATGACCTCAAAAATATATTGCTTGTTTGCTTGAAAGGTAAGGTGACCAACAGTGTGGATAGGTACAGTTTGTATTAAAAAGGGTGGAAGGCCGGGTGCGGTGGCTCACGCCTGTAATCCTAGCACTCTGGGAGGCCGAGGCGGGAGGATCGCTCGAGGTCAGGAGTTCGAGACTAGCCTGAGCAAGAGCGAGACCCCATCTCTGCTAAAATTAGAAAGAAATTAATCAGACAACTAAAAATATATAGAAAAAATTAGCCGGGCATGGTGGCTCATGCCTGTAGTCCCAGCTACTCGGGAGGCTGAGGCAGAAGGATCACCTGAGCCCAGGAGTTTGAGGTTGCTGTGAGCTAGGCTGACGCCATGGCACTCACTCCAGCCAGGGCAACAGAGCAAGACTCTGTCTCAAAAGAAATAAAAATAAAAAAAGAGAAAATAAAAAATAAAAAGGGTGGAAAAGGGATTGGGAGGGAGACTTCACAGGATATGCCTTTTCTCCATTTTAAATCATGTGAGTATTATTTATTTAATAAAAAATAAATAGAATACAGTTATATATATTTTATATAGTTTAGCTGAAGTCATTTCTGAAGAATGGACACTATACTTTCTTGATCAAAGTGATTTCTTTTTTTCTTTCTCTCTTTCTTTTTTTTGTTGAGGTCCTATCTAATCTAGAATTTCTGGAGTAACAATAAAGAGAAACTATGGTCACAGTCAAAATTTACTTGTGGAGATTAAGTCACTAAAGTTTTGTGATAAAAGACTCTAGTTGGAGATGACTTCCCCCGGCCTAGGCCTAATTGCTAAATTAACTGCTTGTACAGAGCCCCCTCTGGTGGACACATAGCGACATTACAGAATTTTATACCAAATGTATGCAGTAGAATAGCAAATGGCCAGAATGTGAGATATATGTAATTACAAATATGTGTGTATGTGTAGATATATATTAAATCATATATAAATATGAGATTAATATTATATCTTTGTAAATACATTTTAATTCGTAAATGATAACATCAAAAAAAATCAGCCTGTAGCCTGGACATATAACATTAAAGCTTTTCAAGGTGCTCACTGATGAATAATATTGTTATTCTTTTTTTTTTTTTTTTGAGACAGAGTCTCACTCTCTTGCCTGGGCTAGAGTGCTGTGGCATCAGCCTAGCTCATAGCAACCTCAAACTCCTGGGCTCAAGCGATCTTTCTGCCTCAGCCTCCCGGATAGCTGGGACTGCAGGCACGTGCCACCATGCCTGGCTATTTTTTTTTCTATCTTTAGTTGTCTTGGCTAATTTCTTTCTATTTATAGTAGAGACGAGGTCTCGCTCTTGCTCAGGCTGGTCTCGAACTCCTGAGCTCGAGCAATCCTCCCTCCTCGGCCTCCCAGAGTGCTAGGATTACAGGCATGAGCCACCGCGCCCGGCCTGTGTTATTCTTTAACAACTGCTCTTAGCCATCAGTAAGAATCGTGACTGTTATAGCAACAGAATTGTCACTCATCTTTCTGCTGCCTTCTTGTTTGGGTTAAGTGATATTGTCAGGTTAAAAAGATCTTCAGGGATAGAATTGCAGACCACTTTTGTGACAATCCTGTTGGCTAATGTAGCTCTGTACAAGGCTAAAGTGAGCCCCTAACAGGTCCCCCAGGGAGAGCACATCAGTCATCATCAGGTTTAATTAGCACACTGGAAAAACAGGGCAAATTTCTCTCTCCAAATCAGGAAAAAACCAGCCACCTATGGCAGCATAGGTTACCATTTATATCTATAATATGTCTGTATCTGTATCTATCTGTGATCTCTGTTTGAGTCTCATGTCCTAAGCGAAAGGCTCGGCCGTTTGTACCCGTGAGAGCCGCCACAGAAACCCAGCAGTGCCTCCTGGTGCCCCTCCAGAGCTGAAGCAGAGGACAGGGGGAGGGAAATGAAACAAGCCTCAGAAACGGGCGGACGTGACAGTCAGGAGAGGGACAAAAGGGGGCAGAGGGACGATCCTTTCCTGAGCCACTGTGTTAAGTCCTTGACACATATTATCTCATTTAGTCTTCACAACAATCCTATAAAGAAGGAATTGTTTTCTCTCCTTTAAAGACGGGGAAAGTAGGACTCTGAGAGTTTAATTACCGTATCCATGGTTACCCTCCCCTTCCTCGGCACAGCTGGGATCTGAAGGCAGGTGTGACTAGAAAGCCATCTACACCAGGCTGACTCTCAGGAAGAGAGGAAAGAAAAGGAAGGAAGGAAGGAAGGAAGGAAGGGAGGAAGGGAAAGAGGAGGTGATAGAGGGAAATGGTCAATGCGAACAACTGACTGAGGGTCAGGGTCGCTGAAAGCACACACTCTGAGCTAGAACTTCTTTTCTAATTTTCCCCCGTGTGAGTTACGCTGATTCCTGAGCAATTTCTGAGTTTCGGTCAAGATCTCAATATGTACTGATTGAGCGATGTCATTGAGGCTGTTCTGTATCTCTTTGAAATTGTCCCGTGGAGTGGCTGAGGTGGCGTCCTGGAGAAACCTGCCCACCAGGCACTCCTGGGGGGAAGGGGAGAAAGGGACTCTCCTAATGTCTCCCAGGTTGATGGTGTATCGACCTGGGACAGCCTGCTTCAAACCTGACCAACCAGAACGCTCGTGAGTGGGCTGATTATTTTGATGTTTAATGATGGTTTGGGACAAATCTAAGATGAGATAAATTTAGGTTGCACACCACTGTGGCTACTCTGAAGAACACAGAGACCCAAACAATGCCCAATAATGAAATCTGGTTTTCAAAGAACAAAACACAAGAAAAAAGAAAAGAAACTATGTTTCTCCATAGGAGACATAATGAATTCTCAGTTATCTCTTTAAAGGGACAGTCACTCACTCGGGCCACTTTCGTGACAATCCCATTGCAGTGCTCATCCAAGAATCTTGGGAAAAGAAGCGATTACCTCTGACATTCACAAGTGCATAAACACAAATACACATTCCCACACATTTTTAACACATGAAAGAAGTAATCATTTGTTAGTTTAAATATCCCCATAGTACTTAAGGCTATCTTATAAGACAGGGCATTCCTTATCACTGGAAGTTTGCAAAGAAAGTCTTGATAATCAATTGTCAATGAAAGAGTAAGAGAAAAAAGTAAATAAACTCTACACAATGGCAGTGGGCAAGTGCCAACAGCTAGCTAATGTAAAATCAAAGGGAGTCTCTTTTGGGCAGGAAGAGAGACTAGGTTACCCATGAGATCTTTTTTAACATTGTAATACTGTGCGCCTGACTTGTTTCTTTCCCATACAGACATTTTGAGAGAATATCAGCCTTGTGATTCTTCTTGTAAAACCTGCAGTGGATCTGCAACTCTGTGCACGTCCTGTCCAAAAGGTTAGTGTGGAGTGTCACAAGAGGTGGCAAGGGCCAAGCCAATTCATTTAAACTCAGGTATATTGGTGTCCTTGTGTAAGGAGGTTTGTAGGTCTTTGATCTATTAATAGTTCCATCACATGTTCCCATCACAGTGGCTACTCTGGAGACATACAGGGACCCGAACATTGACCAATAATAAAAACTGGCTTTCAGGCTGGGCGCAGTGGCTCATGCCTGTAATCCTAGCACTCTGGGAGGCCGAGGCGGGTGGATTGTTTGAGCTCAGGAATTCGAGACCAGCTGAGCAAGAGCAAGACCCTGTCTCTACTAAAAATAGAAGGAAATTAGCTGGACAACTAAAAATATATAGAAAAAATCAGCCAGGCATGGTGGCACATGCCTGTAATCCGAGCTACTCAGGAGGCTGAGGCAGAAGGATTGCTTGAGCCCAGGAGTTTGAGGTTGCTGTGAGCTAGGCTGACACCACGGCACTCTACTCAGGGCAGTAGAGTGAGATTGTGTCTCAAAAAAAAAAAACAAAAACTGGCTTTCAAAGGACTAAAAAAAAAAAATTTCTTAACCCAAAACCATAAGGAAATAAGTTATCAGTTGACTTGGCTGCAGAATCAGTTGACCTAGGCTAGTAGGGTCTATGGGTACCTGATATTTTTGAAGGTTCTCTTACTCTTTTAAAATGCTCTATCCAGAATGAGAACTTAAGGTAGAGAATGTAACTGGAGATAAAGCCACATGTTATCTCCTTCATCACAACTGATACTGACTTTAATGGTGGAGGGAGGAGGAACAAGGGCAGCAACATAATTGCTCAGTAAATTACCAAGTGCTTCATCATCTATAAAAACACAACATCACAAATAACATAATTTCTGTGAATGAGAGGAATATTTTATTTACATGGTGCATTAACATAAAGAATGGCTTTTTTCAGAGTTTATAATCCTTTATCGCCAGTTTCTTTTTCATAAAGAATGTTTATCTGAGCCTGTTTTATCGTAAAAAAAAAATGTTTAAGTGATCATTATGAAGGCCAGTTTAAAATGTACAATGCTAATAGTGGAATCTGATGCAAAAGGAGAATTTAAAATAATATATGAGCCATGATTATAAAAATATAAAAACTTATACCAC